CCCCAGTCACACTCGAGTGTGAGTGTTTTCAGGCAATTTTGAAACATTTTATGTGTATTTTCCAAGCTGTAATGTATTTGTTTTAGCCAATGGAAAACTAGTTAGTAGAAGGAGATGGTTGTTCGTTGTGAGTTTGCATGAAAAACGACTGCCATTAAAGTCTATGGGTCCAAAAACGTCCAATTCTGCTAAAAAAAAAAAAGCTTCTGTACTTTCTGAAGCCACACAATGCTCAGGTGTTAACATCCACCATTAAAAGTTCACGTTGAGGGTTGTCACACTTTAGCAAACACATAACAAAACACTCCAAAGTGACTGGGGGGCTTATTTTCTATTTGTAGTAGTTATATGGCACTGACATATATCACTTGGAACTTGACAGGGTATATTGGGCTGGTCATATCAGTAACTGAGCCAAATCTGATGACAGGGGCATCATACCTCCCACATACATGCACATACCAGAATCTGATCAGCCTACTTGCATGTTGCATTATGGGAGAAAAGCTAACTGAACATATGCAATAAATACAGATTTTCTAGATGACGTCATGGGTGAGATACCATGCAGACTCAGTCTTTACGCTTTCATATACCATTAAATCTTTGTGAAGCATTCAGTAACACAACAATTCTGAACATGTCACAATACACAATAACAGTATCATTAAAGGTAAAGTCCACATTTCAAGAAATAAATGTACACACATCCATGAGAAACAAATTGTGCATTTATTATTTATTTGGATTGGAGCCAATCATGGATGCAGTGCTCTGAATCCTACAGATTCTCCCTCCTGTCCTTGTCTGTACTAAGGTAAAGACATGTACAGGGTTATTCCCTAAACGGTGAAGGGTTAGGAGTAGGGCTGAAAGTAACGATTTTTTTCATGATCGATTTGTTGCCCATTTATTTTTATAATTAACCGATTGGTTGTATTACAAAAAAAATCTCTCTCTATCCTATCTATCTATCTATAATGAGACTCGTTGCCAACTATATAACCAAATGATAATAACCTAAGTAATATTGCACTCTGTTCTTATTGCAGATGACTACACAAACCAGCAAGATGTCAGCCAAACCAGGCCTCTGTGAAGACCAGGATGTGATGGATTTTCACGATTTGTGTGGCAAGTGTTTCTGTAAAATGAGTCTAGTGCTGCACTGTGGTATTCTGTCTGGTTGGACTGCAATAATTCTCTCCTTTTCAGGCATCTGCAAACAGCTCGTATTCATGAAAAGCGTGTGCTTTTTTTTCTTCATTTAAATAGAAGCTTTTGCCTGATTAGGACTACACAATGCACAAACAGCATTTTTCTTCATCTCTTCGTTTATTCTTGAATCTCTCTTAAAAAAAGAGAGCGATAAAAGTGATGTAAATACATTTTGGCATCACTCACCCTCTGAAACTTTTAGTTAACTGGCTGTCTGTTTTCACTGCTTTCTAAGTCAATGGCTGAAGGCCAATATGCAGATCAGGATTTGTGGCAACTTTGGATACATGATTTCCAGGTCAGTGACTTAGACAGTGTAGAAGCCAGAGGACTGACCTCATAGCCGTACAACTATGATTTATACAGAAGGAAGTTGGGAAAGGAGCATACATGATGGGTTTACATTAAAAAATTATTTCTCTCCCGTTCATTGAAGGACACAGGGAACAGATCGGAGATCATGTACTGTAGAGTAATATCGCCACCTGCAGGAGAAGGACGCTAGGCACCACAAAACTAAAGACCAATTACAGCCTAGGGGCGGCCCCTGCCGGTGGCCAAACCCCCCACCTGCTGACAAGTCTCCAGTTTTTTGCCTAGCGTCAGGAGTAAGGAGCTAAGAATTTTTCCTTCCTGTCTAAGTGGTCTACTCCCCCCGCGGTGGATCCGCCGGTTTCTCGCCTGAACAAGGCTACGGTCATCCCGGTGGAGGATTCGCCTTCCTTTCGGGATCCCTCGGATAGGGAGGCGGTGGCGTGTACTATGTACTCGGTTTCCAGGGCTCTGCTGCGCCCCGTGTTGGCTTCGGCCCTGGTCTCCCAGACTTTGACTGAGTGGATGAAGATGCTGCGTCAAGGTCTTGCGGAGGAGAACGTGTCTCCTGCTTATGTCGATCTGACGGAGTAGGTAGTGCAGGGTCTGCAATACTTGTGTAATTCGGCCCTGGATGCGGCCCCGTTGGTTTCCAAGCTATATGTGTCGGCGGTTACTCTTCGGCGCCTCCTCTGGCTTAAATACTGGTCGGCTGACCAGGCTTCCAAGAAGGCTCTGACGGAGCTCCCCTTTACGGGGGAGCGTCTGTTCGGGGCTACCTTGGATGAGTTCATTAAGGATCTGACGGGCGGTAAGAGTACCTATCTGCCTCAGTCGAAAAAGCCCAGGGACCAGCAGCGGAAGCCTGGTCCTTCCTTTTCCGCTCACAAGCGGCTTTTTCGTCCGCCTCCGCCCTCTGAGAAGGGCGGGAAGTTCAACAGACCGACGCCTTACCAGGCTGCCAAGCGGCACTGGCAGCCCAGGAACGCCAAGCCCCCCTCGGCATGAAGACCTGCCCCCATCCCGGGATTCCAGGGTGGGGGGACGTCTTCGGCTCTTTGCGGGCCGCTGGCTGTCCCGCGTCTCCGACACCTGGGTGCGGGAATTGGTGTCCTCGGGCTACAAAATCGAGTTTCTGTCGCGTCCCGAGGACAGGTTTTTCCCTTCCAACATCCGTCTCCCTCCACAGCGCCTGGCGGACCTTCATGGCGCGGTGGCGGGTCTTTTGTCCCAAGGGGTGGTGATTCCGGTTCCCTCCTCGGAGAGGTTCAGAGGATTTTACTCAAACCTGTTTACGGTGCCAAAGAAGGATGGGGTTCGTCCCATCCTGGACCTCAAGCGGTTGAACGTCTTTGTGCGCGTTCGCCGGTTCCGGATGGAATCGATCCGCTCTGTGGTGGCGTGTCTTCACCAGGGGGATTTCATGGCCTCCCTCGACATCAAGGATGCCTACCTTCACGTTCCTGTTTGTACCTTCCACCAACGCTATCTTCGCTTTGCGGTAGGGGACGACCATTACCAGTTTGTCGCTCTGCCCTTCGGTCTGGCGTCGGCACCTCGGGTGTTCACCAAGGTGTTGGCCCCGATCTTGGCCCTGTTGCGTTGTCGGGGGATCTCGGTGGTGGGGTACCAGGACGACCTGCTGAAGGCGCATTCCTCTCTGGTGACGGATCTGACGATCGCCGTCCGGTCATTGGAGGAGTTCGGCTGGCTCCTGAACTTCCAGAAGTCCTGCCTGGTACCGACCACTCGGTTGGAGTATCTGGGGTTGATTTTGGACTCCACCTCGGCGCTGGTTTTTCTACCACCCGAGAAGGTTCTGAAGCTTCGCTCGCATGTGGCGCTACTGCAGACACGTCGATGGTCAACGATCCGGTCTTGCATGCAGGTCCTGGGCCTCATGGTGGCTTCCTTCGAAGCGGTGCCTTACGCTCAGCATCACACGCGGGTTCTGCAGAGGTCCATATTGTCGCTGTGGGACAAGTCCCCTTTGTCGCTGGACCGGGCGGTTCGGTTGTCTCGGGAGGCGAGGGCCTCCCTGGTCTGGTGGCTTCGGTCTCCGTCCCTGGTGTTGGGCAAGTCCTTCCTTCCCATTCACTGGACGGTGGTCACCACGGATGCCAGCCTGTTGGGCTGGGGGGGAGTCCTGGACGTTTGGACGGCTCAGGGCCGTTGGTCGTCGGAGGAGTCTCGGCTTTCGATCAACGTGCTGGAACTTCGGGCGATCCGTCTCTCTCTTCTTCATTGGACGGACCGTCTTCAGGGACGGCCGGTCCGGGTTCAGTCGGACAACGCCACGGCCGTGGCGTACGTCAACCATCAGGGCGGCACAAGAAGTGTGGCCGCGGCTCGGGAAGTGGAAAGAATTCTATCTTGGGCGGAGGTGCATGTTCCGGCTCTCTCCGCCGTGTACATTCCGGGCGTGGACAATTGGCAGGCCGACTATCTCAGTCGCCAGTCAGTGGACCCGGGGGAATGGATGCTACATCCGGAGGTGTTTCACCAGCTCTGTCTTCGCTGGGGGTTCCCGGACGTGGATCTCCTGGCGCCTCGCCTCAATCGGTGGGTCGATCGGTTCGTGGCCAGGACCCAGGATCCTTGGGCGGATGCGGTGGACGCCCTGGTGGCGCCGTGGGATTGCTACGGTCTGATTTACGCTTTCCCTCCACTATATCTGTTGCCGCGTCTTCTTCGCAGGGTCATGGTGGAAGGCGTCCCGGTCATCCTCGTGGCTCCGGATTGGCCGAGGAGGGCGTGGTACGCAGATGTGGTTCGGTTGGTGGCGGACGTCCCCTGGCGCCTGCCGCTCCGTCCAGATCTTCTGTCTCAGGGTCCGGTGTTCCATCCGTCTTTACCGTCGTTGGCTTTGACGGCGTGGCTGTTGAGAGCCAGGTGTTGAGGGATCGTGGTCTCTCGGATGCGGTTATCTCTACGATGTTGCGGGCTCGCAAGCCTGTGTCACGACGGATTTACCATCGAACGTGGAAGGCTTATTTTGCCTGGTGTGAGTCGGTGGGATTTCCGCCTCGTTTTGTTTTCCGTTGCCAGGATCCTCGCCTTTTTACAGCGGGGTGTGGATCAGGGTTTGGCCTTGAGTACGATCAAGGGCCAGATTTCGGCCTTGACTGTCCTTTTTCAGCGGCCGATAGCTTCCAACGCCTTCGTTCGCACTTTTGTGCAGGGGGTCACACGTATCGTTCCCCCTGTTCGCTCCCCGTTGCCGCCGTGGGATTTGAATCTGGTGCTCTCAGTGTTGCAGGAATCTCCCTTTTGAGCCTCTGCGGGACATTCCGATTCTGACTCTCTCACAAAAAGTAGCCTTTTTGGTGGCGGTCACCTCGATCCGCAGGGTTTCGGAATTGGCGGCTCTCTCTTGCTCGTCCCCGTTGCTGGTCCTGCATCGGGACAAGGTAGTTCTGCGGCCTCGGCCGTCTTTCTTGCCGAAGGTAGTTTCGGCTTTCCATCTCAATGAGGACATTGTCCTACCTTCCTTGTGTCCGAAGCCTGTCCACAGGAAGGAGAGGGCACTACACTGTCTAGACGTGGTCCGCGTCATCCGGGTTTACCTGAGTGCTACGGCTGCGTTTCGGGAATCGGATTCCCTGTTTGTCGTTGCAGATGGCCCCCGGAAGGGCCGGGCTGCCTCGTCAGTTACCATCTCTGGATGGATTCGCGACACGGTCTCTCAGGCGTATGCTATTAAGGGGCGTAATCCTCCTTTTTCTGTTAAGACCCATTCTACAAGGTATTTGAACAGAGAAAAGGATTTTACGGTGAGTACCAAAATCCTATTTTTTGCCCGACACCTGGGACATGCATTTTCGGGTGCTGGGCAGGTGTTTTTTTTTTTACATTTAGCCCTGCTGCGGGCAAACACGGCTAAATATAGAGCAGGGGAGCTGGTGTTCACTTTCTACAAGTGATCTGGGTCGCAGTACAGCCACCCAGATCACTTGTAGCAGCCTGCTTGTCTGCCCCATCTCTCTCCACAGAGTCCACGGTCCGTACTGCAAAGGGCCCAACCCCACTATACACACATTGATTGGTGTTTGCAACCCTGGGGCCAAGCTTGGCTGCTTGACCCGAGCACTGTCACAGGGGAGATGATCACATGCTCCTTTTATACTTGGAAGTTTTAACAGTATTGAGATGGCTACAGAGGAGGCGGGAGTAGTCCGTGCAGCACCAGTAAAGCAAGTATAAGAAGGTGGGGGCTTTCCAGAGACTCTGTGAGTTTGCACTGCAAGGGCATGGTGACCGTATGTCTTTAACGTCCAAAGATGGGCTGTATAGTTGAAGTAAACTTATGTGCAGCAAATTTTCATGTAATGTCTGATAATCAGCTGCACAGACATGAGTCATACATGGGCTATATAGTTTAGTAGGATTCTTGTTGTGACATGAGTTGCTCACATTAGCACTTGTTCCAACTTTAAACCGGCCTATTTGATTCGGAACTTTAGCATTAATGAAGGGTTTCACAAACTTCTGAGAACCACATTTGGAATGGGTTTTCGTCCATTTTTATCCATGTGTGCAGTGTTAATTTTGACAGCAAATTTCGTTTTAGTCATAGTCTTTTAACCAAAATGCCATTTAGTTTCAGTCATATTTTAGTCATCTGAATTGTTTTTAGTCAACGAAATCTACAGTAGATTTAGTCTACTAAAATCTAGTGGGTTTAGTTAGAGTAATTTAAGAATTTCTCTAGAATTTCCAATCTCATTATATACTTCTGGAGTATACCTGTTATTACTTCTGGTATTAAAGATGAACTTTACCCATATCTTTAAAATAACAACAAACACATCTTTACAAATGTTTAGTAATGACAATCTACAAACAGATACTTCTAGATAATTGCAGGTTTTGTATTCTTTGCATACCTTATTTCTCTTTTCTTCCCCAGTCTTCTGACAGTGGCCATGTTAACTAAAGGCAGATTACTAGCTCTCCTTTTACTTCCTGGAACTCTGACACATGTGATTAGGACATGTGACCATACACATCATCTCAGGGGAGGAAAATGCCTTTCCCTGAGAGCTCATGAGATTTTCCAGCAATGCTCTGCTGATGTAACCTTCCCAGGATGCAACTCTTTGGCACCTTATATCATTTGTGCCAGAACTGGAACAGGAAGTAGATTAACTTTGTAAGTAAATGCAAAAACAAATTTGTTAAACTAATGAATGTAAGATGATTTTTAAATCAGCACGCAGAGCTGCATGCTGATGTGATTTTTAGTGAAAGGGGGTAAAGGTCCACTTTAAGGTTTGAACATGCAATACAGACACAGATTTAACTGTTATGATCTCCAACATGTCTTTTTATCTTAAAATTAGATTAAAGCAAGTCTTAAAAAGAAACAATAATATTGAGTATTTTCAACAAAGGAGTAGTAATTTGATATGCATTGATTTATAACAACTTGCATATCACATTATTTCAAGCAGAAGTGAAGCTGTAAAATATTAAAATGAAAAACTATATTGGCTGTAATGCCATGGCACATATTATCTATTAGCCGTCCATTCAGGATGGAATCGGAACTGGAATTCCAAAGCCATTAGTTCTGATTGGATCTTCTACCAAATCGTCTCTCCCTAACATTTTAGTCTAGTTTAAGTTAGTCAACTAAAATGTCAATATATTTTCCTTATAGTTTTAGTCATCATAACTTAGTTTTTAGTTTAGTCACCGAAAAAGTGACGAAAATGATTTGTCGACGAAATTAACACTGCATGTGTGACGAATTAATAAAAAAATGTATAAGTTGCTCATCTATGTTTGACATTTATAATGAGCATTCCTTTTTATTACAGCATCTCCTGCTAAAAGTGAGACCAGTTCAGTTGACATATATGATGGGCTGGACATGTCGATGACTGTACCAGGTAATGTATTTATGACTTTGTTGTTGGCCAAACAAGGAAGAATTCATCCTTTCCATTATTCCATGAACAATAACTGCAGAATCTTGGGGATCGAGTAGATGTCTGAATAGCACAACACCTTCCTTAACCATTTGAGAATTTTAAATTGTACTTTGTAATCAGGAATGTTCATTCTATATGTTGTTATCTAAAACCAAATAATGTGGTGCAGCACTGTGCATTGCAGTAATGTTTGTTATCACAACACAAAGGTGTGAAGCCGCCCTCAGCTAGTGACCGTTTTTAAGCTAAGCAGCAGTTTAAATCACTATATTTAGTATCCGTGGGAAAGTAACTAATATGTAGTATGCTGTCTGGCACCCTAACAAATGTTGTGTTGGCCCTCATAGCAGAGCTTGCATAGCTCAAAATATGGGAAACTACTATTCTATCATGGGAACATGGTTTTTATTTTCTGTTTCAGACCTGTTCAACTATCACTATGCTGACTCACTCACGGCTCCTGATATTTTCAGGTCCTGTGCTTGACAATTAGGGGAATGTGGATGGCATAAACGTTTAGATCTTTTTGTATTTTACAACGAATAAAGTTGGGGTTCACTGATACTATTTTTTCCAGACTAAGTATGAGTACTGATACTTTTCCTCAAGTACTCGCCGATTCCAATTATGTAATTTTTTTTGTGTGTCATGTGACAGTTTTCCCAAAATATTACAGACTAATGATTTTAGGACAGTGGTGCCAGGGCTCGGTCGCAGCTGCAAATGCTGCGATCCTGCTAGTTCTGCCACTGACTCCAAGCTTTAGAGGGACTACAAATCCCAGCAACTCTTTATACAGCAATGCCGAATGGCAACTGGCTATAAAGGACTACAAATCCCAGCAATGTTGAATGGCAAACCGGAGGAGAGCTGTGTGGGGGGTCTCATCAGGGGTCCAGAGGGTCTCACGGGAGGCATGGTTCCCCAGAAAGGAGGAGGCGGAGATTTGCGTCCGGCGCTGTAAACAGGCGCTGTGTGATTCACAAGAAGGCTGCCAAGGTCCCCAGCAAGTGTGGGATCCGCTGGTCAACACCTACTTAGTTAGATGTGATACTGTATTTGAATAGCATGTCTGTTTATGTCAGGTTTGTCAGATTCATTTTTTTTTTCTTACAGAGGAAACCACCAAGCAATCAAGTCCTTCAAGAGACTGTTTGGACCTGTATGAGGAAATTTTAACAGAGGAAGGAACTGCTAAGGAAGCATCACTTAATAATGTAAATAGAAAATCATAAAGTAATAATGTTTTGCGCATTAAGTAATTGTGAAATTGCACAGTTGGTGCAAGTACCTGCAATGCACTGGGCATTGCTCTAGTCTGCTGCTAGAACCCCTTAATAGCCTGTGGAGTGTTCAGCAGTTTGAAAGTGAGTGCCAAGTGGCTGAGCAGCCAGGCAATTGGCTGCTTTGGCACTAAACACTGCATTATTGGAGTAATTGGAGCTGCTCGATACCTCCTAAGTAGAAGGTTTGGCAACAGTGGAAGCAGGACTCTCATGGTCCTTCTCAACAGCTTCACCATTACTTTGCTTAATGCTCTGTAGAGGATTGCATAATTTAGTGGTAAATGGTGCCATATAAAATAATATTATAGGTATCTTCACCAGAAATATTTATTAACCAGAAATTGCACATAAATGTATATGTGAGTAATGATGGTAGCCGTGCGTCGTGACACTTTAGACATGACTTTTTACAAAGTAAATGAAATATATACAGTAAATGCTGCTTCTCACATACAGAGGCATACAATGGAATCTTACTGTTCGCTACCAATAATTTTGAAGAAGAATTTATCAAGAATTGGTAGCTTCATGTTTAGTGATGTGCATTTCTATTGAAATCTTTCTGTTATTTAATTTGCTTGTATTTTGTATTTCTTTAGTTGAACGTGGATTATGAAAAGTGTCAGAAACAAATAAAGCAGTTGATAAGCAAGTTGAAGGAAATGCAATCTTTGGTAAAGTACTGATTTGTGGCACTAAAATAATTTTGTTATTGTTTTTTTGTAGTCCGATGCATGTTGCCCATTTTTCTAGCTATATAAGACCTTTTACTTCCTACTTTTTTTAAAGGTGTGATAGCACAGACTAAAACAAGTTCTTTTAGTTTAAAGGGGTTCTAAACCCTCCGTTTTTTTGCTTATATCTACTGCTAGCAAGCAGTAGATATAGGCAAGAAGTTTAAAAAAAACAAAAAAACGCTTGAACTAGTTTTAAACTTACCTCGTTATCGCTGCTCGCTCCCGCACTGAGAATCAGGAAGTGATCGTACGGCCGCAAAGGATCTTGGGCGGGCGCATGCGCAGTTCCGATTCTCGGCCAGGAGACGAGCAGAGACGCAAGGTAAGTCTATGGACGCGTGACTGTATCTGCAAGTATTGCGAAATACACAAAAGCGGAGATCAATATTTATTGCTTTAATGCAAATGTTGCACTAGGTCATAGCCCATCTTTCCCAGAATTATCTATTTATTTAATGTGGTTGGTGTGTTTCCTGTTGCAGGTAGGCGGAGCCTATATCTCGATGGCTGTCCTGGAAGATTCCTGGAAACAGAGTTATCAGGTAATCAACTCATGTTTTTGGTTTCCACCTGACAAATTCTGCTGAGGGAGGAGCATTGCAGTTCCATTCATTTCATTAGCACCCCCAAAACGCGCCTCCCACCCACAGTGTGATCGCCCGCACTAGAACGCACGGTACCGCAATGTCATGTGTTGCAGTGCGATTGCAAAAAAATGTGCATGCAGTTTTATTCAGAAGTAAACACTCCTTTTGCGTAATTTTCTTTTAAACTAAGGAAGGTATTTAATCGAAAAAATTATTGGCCAACTAATCGATTAACAAAATAATAGTTGCAGCCCTAGTCAGTGCTATTGCCAAATGGCCATTTGTCAACATCTTATCTGCCAGGCTCTTGCATGCTTGCTGTAATTTCCACTTAATCATATGTAGAGTTTTTCTGGGGTATGGTCTTTTCACCATTTTCGGTTAACACTAGCATCAAAACTTTCCATTTTGGGATTCTAGAAATTTAAGGAAAAGAAAATTATAGTGCAGCCAATTTTTTGAGTAGACCCAACAGTTGAATGTTTTGTTATGTTTTACATTAATACTCAGTGCTTGAAAACTAACTGGTCCTCTCATCTGCGACGAGAGGACTCTGGAGCCGGACGAGTAGCAGCGCAGCTTACATACAACAGTTCCGGCGGCTGTAGAGATGCTGGATCGCTTGTATAATGCGTGCTGGTGTGCGCCCCCTCCTTTTGCTGCCGATCCCCGTTGTGTCCGGTAAGGGCTCGGCACCCGCAAGGCGGCTCTGTCACTGGAGATCAGCGGTAGCATAGGACATTGTGTGTGTGCGTTGAGTGCTGCCACCATTCCACTGTGTGCCATATTGTGGTAGCGAGGCAGCAGAACTCTCCTACATGCACAATGTGCATTACAGGGTAAGTTCACTTTCCCAAGTAATATGGGAAAATGGAATTATCCGATCAAATCTGCCCGATCTCTCCCAAACCCATCCCCCGGCTATACTTGCCTTTCAGCGAACAGTCCTTACCCTCCGCCCAATGAGAAGCACTATTTAGCACAGTCAAATACCGTTTTGATTAGGGATGCACCAAAACAGAGTATTGGGGCGAGAACTTGTACTTGCCCAAATGCTCCGATACCTTCCCCAATACTGAAACTTCTGGTGGCGGAACATTTCCTCTGTCCGGCAGTGCCGTAGGGGAACATGGAGCCAGCTTCCCATGCAATCAGGAAGTAGGACAGCGACTAATGACCCACCTCCCGATTTCCTGATTGGCCGGGAAGCCAGCTCCTTGCCGAGCCAGCCAATCAGGAAACTGGGAGGCGGGTCATTAGTCTCTGCCCTGCTTTCTGAACATCGAGCCGGCTTCCCTGCCAATCAGGTCGTTACTCGCCGCCTGTTTTCCTGATTGGCTGAGAAGCCGTTTTCCCGGCCAATCACAATCTAGTCGGCCAAACAACATGGAGACGGCTTCTCTGGCAATCAGGAAGCTGGGTAGCATGTAATTACCCCCTGCCCAGCTTCCTGATTGCCTGGGAAGCCTGCTCCATGCCAACGGAAGCAACGATACTTGGTATCGGTGGGTACCAAAAACTAAATATCAGTACTCGTACTCGATACCCAAAAACCTATATCTGCATCCCTAGTTTTGATTAAAACAATTTTTTTGTATTGGGACAAGTAGATTGTCATGAGTGACGAGTAGATTCGGCCCCCACTTAAGCTCTTGGACAAGTATTTTTTTTTAATTTCCACACCCTTGCCCAATTTTCCTCGGGTATTTACCACTACCAAACAAATGAGCGGCCACTCATGGAAATCCCCTCGCGCTAAAAACTCTACAAGTCAAAAAGTTATGAACAATATTGTGATAAATGAGAAAATAATATCTATTATCCTTGGAAGAGCATCAACAATTCCTAAAAATCTGGTGCCCATGGATCAATTGTACTAAAGCTTGTAAAGCATGTCTACATATTTACCTATCAATAATGTAGTCCCTCTGGCCAGGTGACGGAGATGCTGTCATTGCTTCTCCCCCTTTTATTTTATTTAATTACCTTTCCTCTCCTCACTTTCCTTACCCTCTACCTATTCTTTCTCTTTTTTTTTTTTCTCTCTGCAACTCTCCAATATATTCTGCCTTTCCTTCCCACACTACGGTATCCATTCAGTTCATCACATTCCCTCTTGGTTACTGAAACCCTCATAAACTCGATGCATCCTGGGGCCACGAATACATGAAATTTATAATGGCAGGACCTGCCCATAGATTTCTTGGTTAATACATTACTTGCTATATTGATTATTTTTCTAAACCCTATGTAGCTACTTCTAAGTGTATGTTATGTAATACACCACATTAACTTTTCATGCATCTCATGCCTGAAAAAGTCCTCCATACCAATCGTGTAGTCATTAAACTATTATGTTGCAAACATTTCGATAAAAATATTGTACAGGAAAATGCCATGGGAAATGCAATGCACTGTATTGTGCTTTTTGTAGGATCCCTTTACAAGCTAGCAACTTGGAAAATTGTATGAATTATGCAAATGTTTTTTTTTTTTATGTTGTTTTTTTAATTTAGTAGCTGGTTCAACTTGTTTCCTTTTTATCGTAGAATACCAACTTACAAAATGAAAACCAGTGCTTAAAAAAGAACATTTCTGCTCTTATAAAAACAGCAAGAGTAGAACTCACACGTAAAGAGGAAGAGATCGACCAACTTAGTCAAAGGTAATCATGGTCTAGCATCTTTATACATCTGTGAATTAAAGAAGAACTCCAGGAGAAAAAAAGTTTTTGTCTAGGTGCCAAAAAAAGTTATACCAGACTATCCGAGCCAGCTCACTGCTTTTGTGATCACTGAAGCGTGTCTCCTCCTCCACTGCACAGATTGGACTGCTCCTCAGCATCCTCACGTCTACACACAGTCTATGCACAGTGTATAGAACATGATGACACTAGGATCCTTAGACTGCTGCAACAGAGGGGTAAAGATGTTTTAGACACCAGTCTGGTGAGGTATAGCCTTTTTTGGGTAACCCTTTTTTTTTTTTTTTTTTTCACACCTAGACAGAAATGAGCACTTAACCCTTGCAGTGCTGGCTTAGCCCCACCACAAGGGTTTTTTTCTTTGAGCTCTTTTTAGGTTTTCTTTCTTTCTTTCAGGTGCAAATATATACCGTTCTAAATGTTTCTAAACTTTTACAAACCTACAGTAAATGTATTTTAATTATTTGGCTGTGACAATATCACATACACTTTAAATTCCAAAACTATATGTAATTCATTAAATAGCTGTTGGAAATACATGCTTATTTTAGATAAAAGCTGTCATGATTTAAATGTGTATTCATATTAACGGGTGAGTTAGCATTAAAGTGAACCTGTTGCTTTTTTTTTCCATAAGCAAAGCACAGGTTCATTTTATAGTAAACTGCATGGTGTTCAAATTTAGCACAGTTGCAATATTTGCTGGATAACGTTAATTGATTTTGTGTGTGGGCTAGAATTAAATTTTAAGTGCTTAGTTTGTCAAATGTATTTTTTTTTATGTTTTGCAAAGTCCTCTGCATTATCAGAGCTCTAAAGCTAGCAATTCACTTTAATTTCATATTGCAGATATTGACCATCTAAAACATTACATTGCTGTAGTTATCTGTGCTAATCGATACTTTTCAATTTTTATTCCTTTTTAAGGCTGCGTGTTCCAGGAACCACTCGAAGTTTTAGGTCAGATCCAGTACCATTACTAAGCGCTAATACAAAATTAAAGGACAAAGAGCTTACTAAAGATACAGTAAAGAAGCCTAGTAGCACGAAGAAAGAAGTGAAACTACAAGAAACGTCCTCTAAAGACCTGACGAGTAATTATTCTTCTCCAAAAAGCATTTCTGAACAGACAAAGTCTTGTGTCGAAAACAATGCAGCATTGATGTCAAAAACACAACTAAGACGCTACAAGGAGACTGAAGAAACAGAGAAACAGACTTCACGACACAAGGTAGGGGAAGATAAGAAGACTAAAACAGAAATGGACTCCTGCAGTCAGAGTAGAGATGTAGAACGATGGCAAAGGAGTGAAGAACACAGATCTAGTCTCAGCCCTGGAATTGATGGTAGTATTTGTGAAGTAAAAGAAAAGTCACATGGACAACCAACAAAAACTGGGAAATGTGAAAGAGCTCAAGAAAGCAGAAATTCTAAAAAGTCAGATGTTGATCACAAAACAGACAGTAGAAAACACAGTTCAAGCTCCCATGATAAACCAAGCTTTTCAAAGGAAAACACACGGGGTCAAGAACTGCATCATTTAAAAGAAAAGCATATAAAAACACATGAAAAATCTGATCACAGAAAAGAGTCCAAGGGACATGAGCGAGACAAAACTGTGGAGCATAGACACAGAAAATCGGAAAAGGATGATGGGTCCCAAAGGTTGAAAGGAACACATACTTCAAGTCCTAAAACGGAATGCTCTCAAAAATCCTTAACATCCGAACTGAATTCTGCCAAAAGGAGTAATGATTCTGACAGAAGGGATAAGCGTTGTTCAAATTACAGTGATTCCAAAAATGTAAGCAAAGACTCAAAATCAAACAAGACTGAAGCTAGGCCATCGGCAACCAAACATAAGAATAATTGTGATGTCAAAAGTTCTGACATGGACATTAGGACTGAAAAGAAAAGATCTAAAGATGAAGAACATGATATTAGATCTGATCAAAGTCACAGGGGGCATAGAAAGGAAGAAAAGGTGGCTCACCAGTCTTCAAATAAAGAGAAATTGCGAGATTGTCCTAGTAAAGCAGAAGTGAAGTCCCCAAACGTTACAAAAGTCTTAACCACTCAGAAGGACGATAGCTCTGTAAAGGACTTTAAGTTATCCTTTATGGAGACTCTTAATCTCACCCTTTCGCCTGCTAAAAAAAAATCTCAGGATTTAGATCCAGCCAACTCTACTGTGTCTACTAGGGAAACTGTCATCAATTCTGTACTTCATACAGAGGCATCGACTAAAGTGTGCGTAAGGGCTAAAGATGTTGCAGATTCTCAGGAATGTTTAAGTAAACCTAACCCAACGGATAATACAAAAATGTCTATAGAAGAGGCAGCTTCTTCCAATGATTTAACATTAGAGCATCAGTCTGAGCCTGTCGAAGATACCATAGCACTTCACAAAAAGCAGTCAAAGGTGACTGTTAAGGCACTTGCAGAATCTATTCAATCAGATGTAGATTGTCCACATGTTGTAAATACTGAACCAGAGGCCAACATTTCTGATGATTTTGACACACAAAGCATTTTAAATGAATCTGATTTTATTGTACTCGACTCTTACATTGAAATTGAGAAGTGCAGCGGTAATGAGATGCCTTCAGAAAATCTGAATATGTCCGTGCCAGTTGAAAATTTCCAAGATGATGAAGTTATCTTGGTGCAGATATCTGAAGATGTTGACCAGACAAGCAGCTTGAAGCCAAATATAACTGGGCCGACAGCAGGTATATGTGAATCCTCAAATACTGATCAGTGTTTACATGATGAAAGCTCTGTAATGAGTCTTGACTTAAATTTCTTAAGACGCATACCTAAGGTCGTCAGTCCACTAAAAAGCCCAGCCAGACCTTTAGCGCATCAGCCTACAACTGAACGCACAGCCAAGGTTTCAGTAGTGAGCATTTCATATAAAGGTAGTACTTTTTCATTATTATGATAGTAGCTGTAGTTTTGCATGCAGGCATGCCTTTTAGGTTTTAGATGTTTCCCTTCCTTCCGCTGTGGGTCTGTTTTCTCTTATTTTTCTTTCTTTTAATTCCAATCTGATATTTATTTTGCTTTCCTTTTATTTTTTTGCCACCCTGTTTTTGTGCAGATTTTAAATGGTTGCTGCAATTTGATTTTTGCACAGATCAAAATACAAGACTGACATTTTTCTTTTTCAGTATATGTTGAGTAGATTTATGCAACATGTGACTCAACTTGGTTTGCAAAATTCGCAAATGTTTTGGGAATGGTAGTGGTTTAACTCCTAGAGGCACTGGCTTGGATTTTTTAATAATCCCTTTGAGTCTATATCATCCCCACTTTGTACAGGGTTCTGTTGACCATAGTTTGGCATTATTGCAGAGATCTGTTGTGCTATAGTCTGTATAAAGTGTATTTTCACTTTTGCAGCCAAATAGTGGTAACCTCTACTTTACACTTGATATATGTTCATATTCACGTTGCATAACATAAAAATAAATAACAATTGCTGCTTTCCTTTTTTTAAGTGCTTTTTATTTTCTTACAAATCCTACCTAGCTTCCCCACTAATATAATATTATGTAGGGATCTGGGTGAAGTTTCATTTGCTTAAATACCCCGCGTAACCTCCCCCTATCTAATGTTAAGTAGGGGTCTGTGGGAAGTTATGTTTACTCTAATTACTCATTTACTCTAGATTTGAACACTGTTTGTGCTAACAAAGGGTTTAAGCCCTTGAGGCATTCTGTGTTAATGAGAGGATGCTTAGTCTGACACTATAGTTTTACTCTCAAACTGCTCAGAGTAACTTGGAATCTGCATAGGGGTCTTCACCAAAGGGACATATAAAAGGTAAGAAATAGATTTATTTTTAAACTTTTTTGGATATGCTGTTTGAATAGGAAGACAGAACAAACATGTAGTTGGGTTTTCATTAGGTTATATCACCTAGTCGGTTGATGCTGTTTTTGCACAGTTAATGAGTTTTTAAAAAATCTGTCACTAGAAATATGTTATAAAATAATGATCCTTTTGTGGTTCTTTTTTTGTTAGATCTACCATCATATGCAAGTATAAGCAATCACAATGAACTGAACAAAGAGAATTGTGAACCAGTCAGCAAAACTGATTTGAGCAACGAAGCTTTCCCCATAGAGATTTCTTCTGATGAAGTTGAGGAAGGGGAGATTATAAGTGATGAAGAACCGGATAACGAGCTGTCCTCTCAGTCTAAAAGTAGCCCACAAGCCGAGCCCATCAAAGATACAAATGTGATCAAGAGCCCAGTAAGCCAGGAAAGCAAGATAGCGACTTTGACCAAACCAAATGGAGTGATTTCACCACTGAGGCCGTCAACTTCAGAAACTAAGAAAAAACCAAAAGACATTAGAAAAGCAAAGTTGCTTGCATTTCCAGTTGATAAAAGAAAAAATGTAAAAGGTGCCTCTTGCCTTGAAGGAGTTTTAAACATTGTCCCTCCATCAAATATACAGGATGTGCTACAGATGCTGAGAATAATAAGAAAGCATATACGAAAAAAATACATGAAATATAAGGTAAGGTTTCCACTGGCCCAGTTCCAACGCTTTGTTGAAGCAGCGTCATTACAATTCACTACGCTAGCAAACCGTTTAGATTGGTCTAGTTTGTGTTCTTCACCAGACTTATTGCAAAACAAACTGTGTAAGTTCATTGAAACCAGACTAAAGCAGCTTAAAAATAATGGGATTGTAAATCGAATCTTTGAGCAGGGGCAAATAGACATGAAAAAGAGGCTATGGAAATTTGTAGAAGAACAGCTTGATTCTTTATTTGATACCCTTAAAGGAATGATGGTAAAACTATGTGATAAGGCCAAATTAGAATGTGACCAAGACGAGAAAAAAATAAGCACGTTATCAGTAACAAAAGTGCAAAAATCTGATCAAATAAAAAAATCTCAAAATGTAAGCAAGACTTCTAAGACTAAAACTTCCTTGGCTAAATCAAAAAATGAACGTTGTTTAAGACGTTTGGACTTTCACTATAAAAGAGATGTTGCAAATACAAAACCTCAAACCACAGATGATCCCAGTCTGGAAAAGAAGCTCTTAAAACATTTAAGTAGCAGCTATGACAAAAATGGTATTTCACCGTGTGATAACATGAGCCCAAAATCCAAAATGTCCCTTTCCACTGCTGCAAAACCTAACGCATCCAATGAATGCCAAAAAGATCGCAGTTCTGCAGGTTTATCCTTCAACTTGGTAAGTGACGATCACATGGGTGACATTTTTAAACGTTTGCTAAATGACTCTGACAATTTAGAGCTTAACCTCCCACATGAAAACATATGGTTATTGGACACTCCAGAGAAAAAAAGCCTCTCGGGCCAGGAATATGACACAGTAAATTCCTTGGTAGAGATCAAAACACCAGTAAAGGCAGTTTTTCCTTGGCCTTCCATTTCCCCTCAACATATCAATACTTTCCCTAGACTTGAGACTGTACTGACCCCAGATGTTTTTGATGAAAGTTGTTTGCTGGAAGTCCCTACCAGTGCCTCATCCAACAAAAGCACAGTAGAGGACAGACTCAAATCCTATTCTGTTCTTATGGAAGATCTTGCTGTGTCTCTTACTGTTCCTTCCCCCCTGAAATCTGATTCTCATCTTAGTTTTCTTAGGCCAGTTTGTGATCCTGAATCAGTAGCTCAAGTGTTTGCACATTATAATGAAAATGCCGTCCAGGATGAGGAAGATGCCACAGAACAGGATATACATTTAACTTTGGATTCTGACAACTCAAGTACAGGTTCACTTGAAAATTCAACTGAACCTGATGGCTTCCAGTGCCATCCAAGCGAACCCATGCAAGCAGTTATAATGGAGAAATCAAACGATCACTTTATTGTTAAAATAAGACGGGCTATATCATCCAGTTCTCCAATGTCTGACAACTCATCTGTAGGAGAAGCTGACAATGCTGCCTCAGGTCAGCTGGAGAGTACACGCTGTAACATTTTTGATGAAAGTTTACAAGGGATCCATATTGAAACCAAACTCGAAGCAGACCCTAAGAACAGTTTACTTAGTGACGCCGCATTGCCATATTCTGTGGAGTTAAGTTTCTCAAAAATTGATGAGAATTCAGAAAATTTTACAAATGTAAAACAACGGGTCTGTTCATCGCCTAAAACTGTGCACGTCACAAAATCTATATTACCTGATGCCTTAAACCAAAACATAACAGACCCATCTGAAGTCGAGTTAACAAATGTAATTTATATAGAGAAAGTTCAGCTAGACTGTGAAACAGTGACTATCTGTTCTGAAAAAAATCCAGAAGATGGTGGCGAGATAAAAACAACCATTGCAGAAAAACAGCTGATGGATTGTGACAAGATCAGCTTTACAGAAGAGGTCATACACAATCAAACCCTATGTACAGACACCTCTATGGGGAGTATTCCTAAAGCTCAGTCTATGAACTCAAAGAAAAAGAAACGGAAATCCTCAGAACAGGAACCTGTATCAAAGAGGCGAAACATTTCTTTTCTACCAGACATTAAAGATAAAAACAAAGGCTCCAGGTGTAGCAAAACTGAGAATGAAGACAAACTGCAAAGAAAACACAGGAGAGCTGTTAGTGAAGGAAATATTAAATTCACTTCATTAAAAGACTCCCCAAGTGGTGGGATTTCTGCAAAGAATGTCATCAAAAAGAAAGGAGAAGTGGTCGTCTCCTGGACAAGGTAAATATTGCATTCATAGGTGTCATTTTATATATCTGGGATATAGAAAAAGATGGTTTCCCAATATAATTCTAGCACTTTGGAAAATGTTTGTCGTCATGGCTGCTTGTAGTCCCAACCAGGGACTTATGTGACAGGGTGTCAATTAAATTAGGAAGTCCCTGAACAAGAATCACCAGGTGGTATTTTTATGTAAGCTGCCAAATTTAAAGGGGTTCTAAACTAGAGCTGCAGCTAACGATTATTTTCAAAATCGATTAGTTAGCCGATTATTAAGTTCGATTAATCGGTTAATCGGATAAACAATAAAATTAAATTTAAAAAAATGGCTCCAGTGATGGATTACTAGTTTGTATTGAGATTGTAGTCCATCACAGGAGCCAGCTTTGGAGCAGTGGAAGTAAAAAAAAAAAAGTGTGGTGTGCAATATAGGGAAATGGAAACTTTAAAGTTATACAGCAATCAATGCAGAATGGCACCGGCTATAGAGGACTACAAAACCCAGCAATTGTACATTATACAGCGCAATGCAGAATATCACCAGCTATAGAGGAGCACAACAAATCCCAGCAATAGTACATTATAGCTGGGGGTATTCTGCATTGCGCTGTATAATGTACTGTTGCTGGGTTTTGTAGTCCTCTATAGCTAGTGATATTTGGCATTGCACCACTGTATAATGTACTATTGCTGGGATTTGTTGTACTCCTCTATAGCTGGTGGAATTCCGCATGGCGCTGTATAATTTATTATTGCTGGGATTTGTAGTCCTCTATACAGCGCAGTGCAGAATATCACCAACTATAGAGGAGTACAACAAATCCCAGCAATACATTATACATATAGTGTATAATGTATTGCTGGGATTTGTATTCCTATGTATAATATAGAGCACAATGTACCATCAGCTATAGAGGAATACAAATCCCAGCAATACATTATAGAGCACCATGTGTGGGAAAGTGCAAGCTTACCTGAGCAGTCTTCCAGCAACTTGCTTCTGAGATCGGGCCTGTCTATCGGCGGCTGTCATCCCCCCACACCTCCTCCTCCTTACTACATCTCCCCGCGTCCCTGTGCCAACCGTGGATGTGGGTGGGTGGTGAGTGTGAGGCGGGAAGGAGGTGCTGCGTGTAGAGCGTGGATGCGGGCGGGCGGGTCTGGCAGCGGCGAGCGTGAGTTTGGGAGGAGGTGCGGCGCGCAGCGTGTGTGGAGCCGTGAACAGGGCCAACTGATCGGAAGTCGATTAATCGATTATTGAAAAAGTTGACAACTTTTTCAATAATCGATTATGTCGATTAGTTGTTGCAGCCCTATTCTAAACCCTCCGTTTTTTTGCCTATATCTACTGCTAGCAAGCAGTAGATATAGGCAAAAAGATGAAGAAAAAAAACCCCGCTTTTAACAGCGGTTTAAACTTACCCCGTTTTCGCCGTGCGCTCCCGCATGAGAATCCGAAACTGCTCGGGCGGCCGCAAAGCATCTTGGGGCGGGCGCATGCACAGTTCGGATTTTTTGGCCGGGAGACGAGCAGAGGCGCAAGGTAAGTCTAATGGACGCATGCACCCGCATGCAGGCACTGCGGGATCGGAAGTCGCCGCACCGCTGGAGGGACAGATGAAAACATCAGGAAAGAAGATCGGATTAAGAGACTTCATTTAAGGCAAGTGCTAACATTGACATTGGGGACGGGAACATTTTTTTTGACTTTAATGTCACTTTAAAAAAAAAATAGCAAACCTGAAAACAAATATTGAAATTACATTTAACATTTTAACACATGAGATTTTAGTGATTGGTTTATTTATGCTTTAGGTTTTCCAAATCCTCTTCCTCTAGAAAAGGGTTCTTCTACCACTGCCATCTGCTTGGTCTTTGGTTTCCCTGCTGTCCACTCTCACCAGAGTGTTCTTCCTTCAAACTTGCCTACTTCTGCCCACCCATGTTTGTGTGCAACTTGTCAGTCTAACTTTTAACCTGACCCCGTTCACCCACTTTCATCCAAGACCTCTTCCGGGGGGGCCTTTTTTGTTTTATAGGGATACCTCCACCTCTGCTTGAACACAAAGGTTTGTCTGTCTTTCTAAATTTAGTCCGGTGTGATACATGGCCTCTGGTTTCCTCTGATCTATGTAGGGTGGACTTTTCTTCTGCTTGTTTGAACATAGTCTTCATGATTGCACGTTTTTATGTTCATGCTTGAATCATTCACCACCATCCTTGTGGGTCCTTATAGCCCCAAGGTGGTTCCTGTATCTGTAGACGCCCCTCCTTCTTTATGGCCAAACTTTAAGGCCATGGGCCTTTTTTTAATATTTGTTGGCTTAATTGGTTGGCTGTTACATCCCGGGTGCTGAAGGAAATAAGTTCCCTGAGACTGTATGCACTATGTCTTCAAGTGGCGCAAGACACTTTGAGGGGATTTTATCAAAACTGGAGCAGCTGTGCATAGCAACCAATCAGCTTCTCTCTTCAGTTAGTTCAGATTTGAAAAACAGAAGCCGATTGGTTGCCATGCACAGCTGCTCCAGTGTTGATAAATTCCCCTCATTATCTGCACTTTATCCTTCTTGCTATTCTGTACTTTGAGCTTACTTTATTTGGGACTTGACTGTTTGCCTAGTCCTTGGTAATATCAAAGAGCAGGTATCACTCCTGTTCTAACACCCACTTGCTTACAACTGTTTGTAGCTTTTTAAAGTTGCCCTTGTCATTCTCCCCTACTCTCTGCCCTGTTGGACCATAACATGGTTTTCTCTGCTTCTCAGGATTCCCCTTTTTTGAATAGGCTTACCCTTTTTCTGAACTTTCTGGTGTTCTCTCATATCAGTCCACCATTTATGATCTGTCTTGAGGATTAAGCCTTTAACCCTAGTATTGGCAGTTGCTCCTGTTTTTCCCTTCCCTTTTCAAGGACTAAAGCTTAAAGGGGAGAAAAGAAAACATTTTTAAATGACCATTCTCCTATGTATACTAGGGATGCACCAAAAGTTCGGCCGCCAAACCATTTTGGCCGGAAATGGTACTATGGGCAAGATGCAGATAGTACCAAAACGCCAAAAATAAGGTACATCCCTAGCTTCTCTTCTCCCCGCTGGGCACCTGTCTGTGTCCCCTCCAATCCCCGGTCCTCTCCCCCGCCTGTGTCGGCAGAGGCAGCAGGCATCGGAGGGGACACAGACCAGCGCCCAGTGGTGAGTAGAGAAATTGTCAGGAGGCCGGGCAGTGTGGGGCGGAGACAGTTGTCACAAGAGGCCGAGTTCTCTTCCCACACTGCCCTGCTCAACCTCCTGTGACAGATGAGTCAGAATGGGGAGCAGAGTACAAACACTCAGCGATCAGTACTGACATACTAGGACATAGTATGCTGACTGTGTCCCCAATTATGAATGAACAGGAAGTGCTACAGTTAATTCATGATTGTGGACATAGCAACTATAACATAGTAACTCCACAGTTTATGAATGGACAGGAGCACTCAGTACAGAGGCTTCCTGTTTATTCATAACAGGGGCTGCACAAAAATATCAAAGGTCAATCTCTTTTTCTATTTAAAAAGGGAAACATCAGGGGTCAGACCCCTGATATTTCCCCGGAGCCCCCAACAGTAGAGTAAAATAAAGGTTTGGAAAAAGTCATTTTCGGTTTTACCTTGACAAATTTTGTTTTGGTCTAAAAATTTCGAGGTATCCCTAATGTACACATATGTTTTGGACTTTTTTAATCCAGACATTATTGGACATTTAAACACTACCCACTAAAATGCATACTTCTATATAAAATAGTTTTAGGTTATAGAAAGCAGTCTAGTGACACACAGTACAATTTGATCCCACATTTATCCTTTTGTATAAAGCTTTAATCTCTCTTTTTCCTATATTGTGTATATATGTTTCGCCTCACTGATTGCCGAGCTGTCACTATGCGTCAAGGGAGATGGGTGGGTCAGACCACTACAGGGAGACCACTGCTTACACAGACATATCAGCAGTCCCCTCTCTTGCTGCCTGATGCATAAGCAGGGGTGTGGACATTTTTGAAAAAACTACTTGTCCATGGACTAAAGCGGGGGCCGAATCTACTTGTCCGTCATGACAATCTACTTGTCCCGATGCAATTTTTTTTTTTAACCAAAACCGTATTTAGCAGTGCTAAGAAGAACATTGGTCAACCGCGTTGACCAACGAGTGCTTGCAATTTCCCTGCGAAATTCAGAATACATGGAACAGGTACAGATAGTACACCCGTACTGGTGGAGGGGAAGGACTGTTCGCCGAAAGGTAAGTATAGTGGGAGGGAGATTTGTGCGGGTTATTCCATTTCTCTCCCGTTCATTGAAGGACACAGGCAACAGATCGTAGATCCTGAATGGTAGGGTAATATCGCCACCTGCAGGAGAAGGACGCTAGGCACAAAACTAAAAACCAATTACAGCCTAGGGGCGGCCCCTGCCGGTGGCCAAACCCCCCACCTGCTGACAAGTCTCCAGTTTTTTGCCTAGCGTCAGGAGTAAGGAGCTAAAAAAAATTCTCTGGAGAAATTTTTTTCCTTCTTCCGTTTGACTCGATTTCTTCTAGCAAGTGTCCCCAGGGCGACATGCTGGATGACTGTAGATCCTTGTAGTCTCCCCTGGGTGACCGTCGAGCGCATGCAGACTCTGCCACGGTGGGTCGGCTGCGACATGTGGTCCCCCCTGACGCCTGTGGGTTCGTCCCGGGGAGTGCATATAACAGGGGGTCCGGGCCTGCCTGTCACAGCGCTCCCCTCAGGCTGGTGACGCCGCGGCTACGGTCGGGGGCGTCTTCCTACCGTTTCCCTACTCGTCCTGGATCCTGGTTGTGGAGTCCGGCCTTCGCTCCGCGGGGGTATGTATGTGGGGTCTGCGGTGGATGTGTCGTGGGGACCTGGAGCTGAGGTAAGCTTTGGCTGCGCTGTTCTCTCACAGCTGCAGCCTCCTGTCTCCCCCCTCCCCCCTGCCTCATGGTGCTCGGGCTTCAGTGGGCCGTAGATGGGCTCCTGTGCGGGCTGCCTTGGTGGGGACTTAGGCTCTGGGGGAGCTTCTCGGGCCCCCTCCGTGAGGTAAGCTTTGGCTGCGCTGTTCTCTCACAGCTGCAGCCTCCTGTCTCCCCCCTCCCCCCTGCCATGGTGCTCGGGCTTCAGTGGGCCATAGATGGGCTCCTGTGCGGGCTGCCTTGGTGGGGACTTAGGCTCTGGGGGAGCTTCTGGGGCCCCCTCCGTGGGGCAGCCGGATCCGCGGCTGACGCTGCTCGTTCGGCGGCCGCGGCCGCTACTCGAGGCCCCGGTCTGATTGGGGCCTCCATGCGGTTCGGCGGCCGCCATCTTGGATGTGGGAAGGCGCCCTTCCTGCCTCTGGATGCTCGGGCTTCGGCCCGTGGTCATCGTTGGGCTCCTGGATGAGCATCCGAGGGGTCTATGGCTCTTGTGGAGCTGCTGTGGCCGTTCCTTTCGTTTTGAAGACATCCGTGGCCGTCGCCGCTCGCTCGGCGGCCACGGCCGCTAATTGAGGCCCCGGTCTCATTGCGGCCTCCAGGCGGCTCCGCGGCCACCATCTTGGATGAGGGCAACTTTGCCCTTTCTCCTTTGTCACTTCCGCCCGGGCTTCCTTCAGCCTCGGGCGGATGGGGAGTGTGTTCCTTTCGGCCCTGGACGCCTTGACGGAAGGACACACAGTGTGCAGCTCTCCTCTGCCTTGCGGAGTCGGACGGCTGGGCTGGGACAAGGACGCTGGGGGTCGTGAGTAGCGGGGTCCGTGTCTCCATCTCCCTTGCCTGGTGGTCTGCAGTCGGTGGGGTGGTTTTGTGCGGGTGTGCAATGTTCGCAGGGATGACGCCCCTACATTGCCTTGTGTGGGCTGTGGGCAGCGCTCTGCGGACCCCTCTAGATCCCCTCTTGTGCGTCCTGTACGCCTGCGCTGCCTTTGCCAGTCGCCCGTGCGTCCCTCTGGTTCTTCAGGGGGGGTGGGTGGTACCGCGGGTACCGCATTGTCCCTGGAGTCCTTTTCCTCTGTCATGGACGGTTTTGTAACGCGCATGGAGCGCGCCTTGACGCAGCGCCCACCTGGAAAGCGGGCTTTTACCCTTGCCATCCCCTGCCTTGTCAGGGGAGTCTGAAGTGGAGGGGGAACTTCCCGCGACGTCGCCTCATCCTGATCCGGGTGATTCCTCACATCCTGTTTCGGCGAGTGAGGATGAGGCTGCGTCTACGCTCCATGATCCATGAACGTGAAATGGTCTCCGCGCTGTCAGGGAGACACTTAAAATTGAGGACGTTGCCAGCACGTCCGCACTGCCGCACGTGCAGTTTGGGACGCATAAGAGTAGGCGTTCTGCCCTTAATCAAGGCCACGGTTATTTCCGGTGGAGGATTCTCCGTCCTTTCAGGACCTTTTCGATAGGAAGGCTGAGGCACTTTTGTGGTCTCTGCCTCGGGCGCGCTCATGCGTCCGGTCTTGGCGTCTGCTTTGGTCTCTCAGACTCTGAGTGGGCTAAGATGTTACATCAGGGGCTTGCGGAGGAGCATGTCTCCCCCGTTTTCGTGGAATTGGCGGACCAGTTGGTGCAAGGCCTTCGCTATGTCTGCAATTCGGCCTTGGATGCGGCGCCCTTGGTGTCCAAGGTGTCGGCGGTGATACTTCGCCGTTTGCTCTGGCTTGAATGCTGGTCGGCTGATATGGCTTCCAAACAGGCTCTACAGGTGTTGCCTTTTACTGGGGACCGTTTGTTTGGTTCCACCTTGGATGGGATCATTGAGGATCTGGCAGGGGGTAAGAGTGCCTTCCTTCCCCAGGCGCGCAGGAAGGAGCAGCGCCGTAGGCCTGGGCCTACTTTCTCCGCTCACAAGCGGCTTTTTTCGCCCTCCGACAAGGGCGGTAAGTTTAGCAAGTCCTCCTCTTCCCACTCCTCCAAGCGTCCGTGGCAGCCCGAGTCTGCCAAGCCCGCCAGCAAGCCCCAGTCCGCATTAAGGTCGGGCCCCTACTCTGGTTCCCATGGTGGGGGGGCGCCTTCGCCTCTTTGCGGATTTTTGGCTGGCCCACGTTTCCGACTCTTGGGTTCGGGAGCTGGTTTCTTCGGGCTACAGTATCGAGTTTTCTGTTTTTCGCGTCCAACACGCGACTCGGATCTCCGTCGCGCTGGGGTGGACCTTTTGTCCCAGGGGGTGATTGTGCCGGTTCCGTCCTCAGAGAGGGTCAAAGGGTTTTATTCAAACCTATTTACTGTGCCCGAGAAAGAGGGAGTGTGGCCCATCCTGGACCTCAAGCGTTTGAACACCTTCGTGCGGGCCCGTCGGTTCCGGATGGAGTCGATCCGGTCCGTGGCGGCCTGGCTTCGTCAGGGAGATCTTCTGGCCTCCATCGATATTCGGGATGCATACCCTCATGTACCCGTTTGCGAGTCTCATCAGCGGTATCTTCGTTTCGCGGTGGGGGAGGACCATTTTCAGTTTGTGGTGCTGCCCTTCGGCTGGCGTCGGCCCCACGTGTTTTCACCAACGTGCTGGCCTCGATCCTGGTGCTGTTGCGTTGTCGGCGGGTTTCGATCGGGGGGTGCCTGGACGATCTGCTCCTACGGACGGAGTCGCATTCTTCGATGGTGACGGCTCTGTGGGTCACGGTGCGGTCCTTGGAGGAGTTCGGGTGGCTGCTGAACATGCGAAAGTCTTGCCTGGTGCCCTCTCCACGCCTGGAGTATCTGGGTTTGGTTCTGGACACGCGGCACCGGGTCCTTCTCCCTCGGGACGAGCTCCTGAAACTCCGTTCCAAGGTCTGGCTACTGAGGACTCGCCAGTGGTCGCCCATACGGTTTTGCGTGCAGGTCCTGGGTCTCATGGGGCCTCCTTCGAGGCGGTGCCCTTTGCGCAACATCATACCATGACTCTGCGGGGAACATCCTGGTACAGTGGGACAAGTCCCCCCTGTCCCTGGACAGGGAGATTCGGATCTCTCGAGAGGCAAGGACCTCCCTGCGGTGGTAGCTCCAATCTCCGGCCTTGGTGCGGGGGAAGTCTTTCCTTCCCGTGCACTGGACGGTGGTCACCACCAACGCCTGCCTTTGGGGCTGGGGCAGGGTCCTGGGCTCCTTGACCGTGCAGGGTCATTGATCGTCGGTGGATCCGGGGGAGTGGTCTCTGCACCCGGAGGTTTTTCTGCAGCTGTGTAGTCGCTGGGGGACGCCGGAGGTGGATCTTCTGGCGTCTCGGTTCAACCGGAAGGTGGACAGGTGTGTGGCCCGGTCCTGGATCCCTGGGCGGTGTTCGTCTAATGCTCTGGTTCGCACCTTTTGTTCAGGGGGTGTCGCGCATTGCTCCCCCTGTCCGCTCGCCTTTGGCTCCGTGGGATCTGAATCTCGGGTTTTCAGTGTTGCAGGACTCCCCATTTGAACCTCTTTTTTTACCCTTCACGGTTGGTGCAGACTTGGGGATTCCCAGGACGTGCGATCGTGTGCGGTTGCATCCGCCTGTATGGGGTTACATCTGCGTGGCAATTCGCTGAAAAAAAGGTAGATGTACCTATTTTCATGACACGCACCGCGCAGTGTTTTCAAACGTGATCGTGTGGGATCGCCCGGGCGGTATTGCAGCAGGAAAATGCGCAATCTGCCTGGCACGACTGGGGTGCCATTAGAAAATAATGGCACTGACAGACGATCGGCCGTGGTGTGCGTATTTTACTTTATAGTCTTTTTATTTAGTTACATTTTTAATTTATTATTTTTTTACTTTTTTAACTTTTTTTTTAAAACTGTATTGCCATCACACAAGGGTTAACAACCTCTGTGTGATAGCATTTGGAGGTGACGGGGTCTCTTTATTGAGCCTGCCATCTCCAACACAGGAGTTCTAGCAGGCACTGTTGCTAGAACTCCTGTGACAGGAACGAGCAGCGGCCACCGAGGACAGAGGCTGAGGGAGGTGACAGAGCCTGTCACTACTCCACGCCCCCCCCTGTCCCCGCTCTCAACGCATCCGTCCCCGCTCTCGGCTCCCCGCGCTCCGTCCCCACTCTCAGCGCTCCCCCCCCGCTCTCTGCGTTCCACGCTACGTCCCCGCTCTTGGCGGTCCACGACCCCCGCTCGGCACTGATTTAAGAAAAAGACAACCAGCCCTGCTACTTGTTCGTAGCAGGGCTAAAACAGTGAAAAAAACACTTGCCCGGAACTACATGTCCCGGGCGTCGGGCGATACGAATTCCACACCCCTGATAAGAGATTATGCTGACATTGTATATACCAGTATAGTAATAAGACTTTTACAACTGTGTGTTTTTCTGCACCCTCCATTCAGATTAGTCGTTTTACATCTAACGTTAAAGGGACTTTAAATGAAAAGTCCACATTGTAATGCCTTAACAGTCATTTCTTTTATAAATATCTAGGCCCCCTTAAAATCGTTATGTGGGTTTTAAGCTGTATATATCTGTATAATTTTGTAAATATTTGTAAAAAATAATGTTATTTCCCCCACCCAGAAATGAGGATCGTGAAATTCTTTTGGAATGTCAACAAAATGGACCACACAGAAAAACATTTCTTGCCTTGGCAACAAAGATGACTAAATATCCACATCAGGTATGTAAAGCATTCATTCTAATAGCAGCTTTTGCAAATATACTGTATATGTGGTCCTCATCTTCACACTTACACAGCGCTCTACACAATTCAAATAGATCTAAATTATTAGCATATGACCATTTTAAAGAAGAACTCCGGGAAGAATAAAACCTAACCCTTATAGTGGGGCAAGGGTTAAGTGCTCGTTTTGGTCTAGGGTGTAAAATAAAAAACATATACTGACCTGAACCTCGGTCCTGCCCAGTTGCTAGACTGGTCACTGTAGCCTCTGCCGTTCCGGTGGTGAAAGGTCCCTTGGCATTCTCCTTAATGCAGTGTATTAAACGTGATGACTCACTGATCCTTAGAGCACCGGAGTGGGGTTTTGAGTTTACAAACGCCTTTGGAAAGCTCATTTTAGGCCGGCTGCTGTATTCCTCAACAAGTCTCGACTCATTTTAATAGCCAAAAAAATTCAGTAAATCAGCAGCAGGGAGAGCAACTGGGTGAGAGGGACAGCATGTACTACATATGCCCTGCATATGTCAATGTCCACAACTGGTTAAAAAAAATAAAAACTATCCTTACCAGCATTAAAATGTAAAATACCCGCAGTGCATACATTTATTATGATTCTAGAAAAGGAAATCAAAGTGCCATTTATACACAAATCACTACTTTCTATCAGCATATCGTAGCCGAAAACAGAATTTGGCTCCTTTTTGATGCAGTGACAACAGCAGTCAGCATTATGAAGTGCTATGAAATTATGATTCATGGGTAATGGGATTTGTCCAAAGAGCTACCCTCACATTATGAGGCAATTGGGTAAAACTTGTTATAGTTGCATTATTACAGCAACTCCTCCTGATACAGTCTCCTGCTTTTTGATTGGGGTTCCTATATGATGATTATATTGGCCTAAAACCTTACAGTATAACTGCACAATGAATATATGTGGTCATGACACTGTATGTTTCCAAAAAACAAATGGCTTTAAGGACTGTTATTATTTGTGGTTTGTGATATTGTATCTATTACACCAAAACGCTTTTAGCTGTGTGTATACTACATGCTGAGGTGCTTATTTTATGACCATGTGTGTTCATACAGACCATCATTTTTGGTACATGAGATTACCATTAGTGGGAGTTGTATATGTTTCAGTTTCTTGTTTCAGGAAAGACTCATCATTTTAACATTTATTACAGGTGGAAGAAAGATTTCGACAGTTAATGAAGTTGTTCAAGAAGAGCAGAAATAGCATAAGCTGACATGCTTTTATACTACAGGACTATGGATGCATCTTTGTTGTTTTATGTGCGGTTTAGTCTGGACAAATGAATAACTCGTGGTGACTGATGACGATCTGCTGATGACCTGCACAAGCTTTTCTAGTAGAGTTTCTGCTAAACCAGACTGTTAACCATTTTAGCAGACTCATATTTTTTGTTAAATGAGAACCAGTATAGATTTGCAGAGCAGGTGTATGTGGGCGTTGTGTCCTGTTCTGAGCAACATCTAGGCTTTTTGCCTGCACCACTATCTGCCCTTTTGGGTTGATATCAAGGGAATATGGTGGAGGCTTCAGCCAAACGAACTTGGAAGTCGGTTGGATCTGAACTTTCTGGCTGCTGAACATGGGAAAAATAAAAAGATCAGCACAATTTTGTTTACTGCATCTATTTCCCCAAATTGCATTTAACTAACTTTTATTAGTTTCTTCCAATGATATCTTTTCAAATTGTAACATTGAGATTAGTCTCCTAAATTATTGTTCAAATTTAGCTAATATTTATATACAAGACCTTTGCACCATTGTCTCAGTCTCTTGTGGTACATGCAGCACTTCATCCTACTTCAGCTAGAATTGGAATAGTTAAAGTCCATTGTTGGTTCAGTTTTGTAAATGCTATTTGAAATGTAATTTTCATTGTTTATTTTGTGTCCATCATCTTTAGTGGTGGTTGTGATCCTTAAAATACCCAAATACAAAATGTAATGGTATATTTTATAACATATTGTATCTTTTCCTCTTAAAGCAGACCGAAGACTCCATCTTACCAGTGTAGACATGCTCACTGCCAGCCAAAGTGCACTCCTTCCTGCTCCTGTTAGAAGCTGACTTCACAGCCTGTTAACCCCAGCTCTTTGTGAGGCCCACTTAATGATTGGCTGCCTCTGCTTTATCAGCTAATCAGTGCCTCTGTCTCACTTACTGCTGTGGGTAAGTAGGAGTGAAGACAACAGGGACTGGGACATGGATGAGGCCTGCACAGGCTGACAGTATGTATTTCTGCACTCTAATGGGTTTTTGTAATATGACTTAAGACCTGGTTTAATGTTTAGTCTGACTGGTGATCTTGTGTATGTATGTGTGTGTGTGTGTATATATATATATATACGCATTCAAGCTTTGAAAGGCTTTACTTCCACAGCAGTGGTTCTCAACCTTTCTAGGGCTTGGACCCCTTGGTAACATTTGCCAAGTTGTGGTGACCTCCAACGGAGCGCTGGACTCCAGAATTAGTAAGGTTCTGTAAAGTCTGCTTTACAGAAATAGGTCACAGCAAAAGAATGTTCAGAATTCTCCTGTTGGGTACATTATTATTTACCTATGTTAATGAATATTTCTGTTAATGCTTCTGCTGTTTACTATGATGAGATGCAATCACACGTTGCATTTGTTTTTGTGCTGTGCTATTTGGGTGCATTACTGTTCTTCCCTGTAAAGGAAAAACCACACCAAAGATGCAACACTCGAGGGCCATTGGAAGCGGATACATTTATTTGCTTAGTAACCGAAGCATTTAGCTACCAGTACATACTGTATATATTCACAAGTGATGTGCCAGATTGAAGCGTTGCGTGTTATAACAGAGGCCAATTTTAAAATGAATGTTTTATTCTTAATTAAAAAAAGACATCTTTTGCGCTGTTTTAGATGATGGCTATGTTCTGATTGGTAGGCTGCATACTAGTTTAGCCTGATTTTATAGGCTTTGAAGCCGAGTAGGTTCAGCTTTAATATTACAGAGCTAGTGTGCAGCCTAGTAGACGGTAAACATCAGCTTCCATCTTACGTTTTGGGTATTTTTTTCTAGGCAGCTGAGTCTCTGTCATTATAAAATAATTAGACCCCATCCATCTGGATATTTGACTTGTGCACCTCAGCGAAAGAGCGATAACACAAGTCAGCTTAAGAGAAGCTCGGCTCTTTTCTGCAGCTTATAAGGGTGCTCCACTATTTGGGCCCACAAGCACGCAATATTCCAAAAATATAAAAGGAGGGCTTTAGAGCTTTTGCTTCTGTAGGTAGTGTGAATGAAAGATCTGTTACATTTATTGGTCAATTATAGAAACCCTAAAACTGTACATGTTATGGGCTTCATGGATTGAGTTGGGCTTCATTTTTAGTTGTTCTGCTTCTTCTATTATGTGTTCATTAAAACTTGGTAATAAAAAATGATGCATTGCCTTTTTTATAGTGCAGATATGTAAAATAGAGGCAAACTCTGATGCCCTGTAACATAACAATTCTGTTGTTTATCTCTGTCTCTCCTATATGCCTGTAAACACGTGTTAACTTGAATATAAATGTGAATTTCAATTGTAGAGTTCGTTTGATATTGTAAATCCATGTACAGACTTGGTTAATGTTCCTTGTAAAAAGTTTTGTATGTATATACCAATGTTATGGTTTGTTTGGTTTTTTTTTTGTTCTTTTTAAAAGTTGTAAAGACAAAGGCATTTATTTTGTATAAACCTGTTTTTGCATACATTAGAAGAAAGTAAAAAAACAATATATAAAATGTCTTGATGCATTCTGAATGTGGGTGTTGCTAATTATTTAGAATAATACTTTTATTATTGCTGGATTATTTCACTTGTAGATTTTTTTCCTAGTGACATTACCCTTTTTTAAGCTCCAAAAACTAGCAAGGGGTCAAAGCTGCAACCTATACAGTCATGACTACACTACACTGCTTGTCTGTATAAGGTTGGCGTTTCATGCATCCATTTTGTTGGGGTGTCCTGCAATTATAATCGTTGACCGTATCGTTTTTGAGTAGCGCTTTTCATTTGTCCCATCATAAAAGAGTCATGTGGACTAGACAGCCGTCTGCTGCCAGAACTGCTCTAAATAGCACGTGGTCCACTGAAGCATTAAATCGGTCATGTCCGATTGATTACGTCTTATTGACATGCATGGTAAAACATCAGACAAAGAACTGGGAGAAAAGTAAAAATAACCAATTGACAATGAAAATGACCACCTCTTAGCTTAAAAATTGCATCTGATTCTTGCATCTAGCAAATGATCATTAATACCGGTATAATATGTTCATATAAAGCCGCTGAAGCAGGGTGTTGACTGGGACTGGGTTGGCTTCCAAGCACATCAATTACGATATTTATTAGCCGCGGGCTCTGTTGGGTGACTGCGTAATCAGTTGCTGGTTTTATACTTTGGCTAATCAATATGCAGTTTCCCAGAATCATGCTTTGCGACTCAATGTTTTATCTAACCCGAAAGGCAACAGTTCATCAGTGCCAGCTTCAACATACATAAAGGATGTGTGGCTAACACACGGTTTTATTTCCAGTGAAAAGGTAAGCACAAATGATCTAACAGAATGTAATACATAGTAGTATACTATTTTTGACCGTTCTGCTTAGATCAACTTATTTTAGGAGAGTCACTATATGCATTAATATGGTTTGAACAGTAGTCTTTTGTACTTTAAGCAGTATGTGTGGATTTTATACATTTTTTGTTTTTATTTTAAATTTCTAGCAAGTGATCTATTTAGACAGTTGAAATTGTAATACAAGGATTTTATGTATAAAAACACATCTGCCATAAAATGAATTGTCATATTTCAGTATATACTGTAATCTGAACACTAATGGACAAGTGCCCTTTTGTTGAAAGAGATCTACACCTTTTGTTTTAAAAAAAAAATATACACTTTGGGTGTACTGTAAAAGTTATTACTGTATCTGCCTTAGTGGATCTTACAGTCTGATGGCCTTACAAAGGTTAGATAGCCAAGTACACTTGGACAAGGTTAGGTAAGGCAATTACCAGTATTTTTTGGGAATGCCATAGAAAATCTGAGATTCTAGGATAAACCAGTGCATTCATCAAAATGCCGTCTATGTGGACAGTTCCCTTATGAGGATCAACCTCTGGTTGTAACCACTGGGTCACCAGTTCATCCTTTGGATCATTTTAATTATTTAACACAATGTCACATTATTATTCACTCCCAAAGAAGATGCAAATCTAACCACAGATTAAGTCAACTTCCTATTCGTTTACATTATTATTTTTTTCAATCTGAGAGAAGCAGAGCAGTAGTAGTGCAGTATTAGGGATGTACTGTAGATTAAATAAACTGCCTTAGTTGTGTAATACACTCACCAGAGCTGCTAGAACTCCTGGATTAGATATTGTTGCACTTTAAGAGGCCTGATTCTCAATGCTGCTCTTTTAATGATAAATGTTTTAGGCATTGACAGCTGTGTTGTATTTCAGATGTACAGTGTTCTGGAGTTGATTTACTAAAAGAATACTTGCAAGGTGAATGTTGGCTTAGTGGATTAAGCTAGACAGAGGAAACAATGTCCTGTTTTGAGAAAAAAAAAAAACTGTCCTAGGTCAGTAGAAGTCCTAGGCCAGTGGTGGCGAACCTTGGCACTCCAGCTGTTTTGGAACTACACGTCCCATGAGGCATTGCAAGGCTCCGACAGCCACAGACATAACTCCCAGAGGCAGATGCATGTTGGGATTTGTAGTTTTGGCACAGCTGGAGTGCCAAGGTTTGCCACCACTGTCCTAGACCTTAACTCACTTGACCCCATTATAGGCCCCAAATGGAAATGGGATTTCATTCAGGAAGAGCTGTTGGGCCAGAGACTCACCTCGCGCAGGTGATGATTACCAGGAAAGAACCCCTTGAAGGTGAAATACAGTGCTTATGATGAAGGGATCCGAAATGATTCATAATGCAGATAGTACAAAAATGTAATCTGAAAGAGTCTCAAGGACAGAGTAAGTTGCACTGAAATCCTCCATACAAGGACTTATAGAATGTAGATAGAATGTTAATATTTTTAACCAAATATATTATGGAAGAATCCAGATTTGAGAGGTTGATAACTACCAGAAGGGGAAGCCTACCCTGGGGCGATACAGATCTTGCTGGAATATCCTTTCTGTCCTTCAGCTTCCTGGGAGTCACGGATTTACAAATGCTCCTAATTCCCTAAACATGAAGTGTTAGACGAGGGAAAGTCTAGATTCAGA